CGTACGTATATATATATATATATATATATATATATATATATGTTTTTTCGGCAATCGTTGCTCAAAATTTCTATATGTTAAACGCAGCAAATGTTTTCAACTCGAAGAATATAGCAATAGAAAGGAAGTTGGTTCTAATGCTTTATTTCTCTCGTTTCGTTTTTATTTTGGACTTCACATTCCAATATAGTATACAGAAAACATCAAGTTAAAAGTCCACAGTCAATTATCTCCGACATTATTAGTCCTGTTGGAAAATGTTTCAAATAGAACATGCAGTATTCAGAAAATTCTATTAGATTGTATCTGTGTGATTTTGAAATAACTTTGGAATAATCTATCGAAATGAACTTAAATGAGTTACTTAAATGAGTATCTTCTTATTATAGATTTTGATAACTGATATTAGTCTTTTTCAAAACATCCTATAACGTCAAATTCGGATCTGTTCAGAAGCTAGAAAAGAGTTTAAAGTTCGCCGCCAGTATCAATGCCCATCGAGTAATCTATTTGAATTAAAGATCCGAATTGGACGTTATCATAATGTTTTGAAAAGATCTCAGATATCAGTAATCAAAATCTGTAATAAAAATGTAAAAAAATCGGTGTACACATCTAAATTTTTTAAGTTCATCTTAACAGGTCATTTAAAAGTCATTTCAAGATTACACAGATATTGTCTAGATATTGTCATAGATATGTCATAGATATTGTCTAGTAAAAATTTTTAAGTATATGCATATATTCTCTGAAACATTTTCTTATAGAATCAATTATTTCGGAGATAATTAGCCGTTTCCATACTTCTAAATCACCCTGTATAGTTTAATAACTCATATCAATATTTGGTTTACATAAAAATGCTGCAGGTATAAGATTATCTCCAAAAAGCAAATTATATAAAGAAACACTCACGCACTGTTAAATTCTTAGATTTAGGCTCGTCTAATATGATATATAAAGTTTATACAAAAATTTGCATGACTGCAAATGTGTGCGTGTGCGTGTACGCGCGCGCGCGTGTGTGTATGTGTGTACATAAATATATGTATAGATGTGCATATGTAAAACACTTTCCCGTTGAAATTTCATTTTCATTTTATAGGAGCCCCTTAATACTAATATAGATCTGTTCACAATTAACTTTGGTATTACAACTTCTTTCTTTCTTTCTCGTTCATATACAACGCACAAAGTTAGAGTCAACAATCCTATCCAAACTAAGAGAAATAATCTCTTGTCTTTTTCTCTTTTTCAACAAATGATTGAGCAATATTAAGTTTAAAACTATTCAAGTAAATAAAATAAGTTTCCCGTCCTCTCCTATAATTGAACAAAGATCAAATATATCTTACATGTTATGTACATCTTCCATTATTTCGCATACTTCGGTTATCGCATCTTTGTTTTATATATTATTTTTATATGTAATTTTTACATTTATTTATAATTAACATAAATCCATTATTAGTCTCTAATTGTTTAATTACTGTTACTAAAAATATATTTCGAAAAAACAAATATCTAATGAAACAAACAATTTATGATTAATATCTGAAAATGTTTTTCATTTTTTTCCACATAAAATAATGAAAAAACCCATTAAACAAAAAATGAAATATAAATATATTGTTTTATATCCCAATAATTAAGAATATATAAGAATATGTAAATAAATTTCAGGAAATTTTTCATCTTCTTATAAAACTTATTGACTACATAAATCAATTTTTACATATATACTTACAAGTATTGTTAAATAATTTCATATTAACCATAAAATATTATTAAAAAGCAAAAGTAATAATCATATTAATCCTAAAAATTGTGAATATATGATGATGATGAATATTTTTCTCTTATTTTCTAAATTTGCATTTACATAATGTTTTTTATATCACACAATTATAATTTCTATCTAAATATAAAATTTTTATTTCTTTTGAATTGACAAAAATATCGTGATAATGAATAATTTTGATTTTTAAAATCTAACAATCAATACTTCTAATATTAAATATTAATAATTATATATATAGGATAATATATGTATAAAAATATTGCAGTGGTGGATTTAGGTAATAAAAAAAGTTTACATAATATATATTCGATATGATTTTTGTAGTTAATAATATTCCTTATGTTTTAGTAAATATTTCTTTACTTTAAAAAGTAGCCATATTTAATTTGAATAATGTAAATATTTTTTATTTTAGATTGTTTAACATGCTCAAAGTGATTGGATATTATATGTATTTACATATAATTTTGTTTAACATAAAGTAACACATGAATATCTGTGAAATATCTGTTGTATCATTGTTTGAATAATTTATCATTTATTTTTATTTATTTTTAATATAAATTTATGATTATCAATAATTCATAATAAAAATATTTTCTTTTCTAAATATAATATACTAATTACATCACAAATATATATTAGCATTTAATAATTATGATTAAATTTTATGATATTCAAATTTTACAAATAAAATAAATTAATATCTAAATATGCTATGCAGAATAAATTGTTAGAAAATAAAACAAGCCAAAACTTGGAAAATCAGATATGTTTATATAAAATTTTTTCATTATTTTTTGTTCTAAGTCTACAACTGCAATATATCTCATATATTAAAAACATCTTACATATGTAAGGTAAGTAAATGGACAAAAACAATAAATAATAGAAACCAAATTTTTTATACATATTCTGAAAGTTTTTAATAATATTTTAGGGTTAAGTAATTTTTTTTAAACTATTTGCATCTTTTTAAACAGAAACATCTTCGAAAATAATTCGTATTTTTAATAAACAAAAACAATTTATATTTTAAATTGTTTGTTTCAAAAATAATTTTTATAGATTTAGAGAAGAAATAAGAAAAAAGAAACATGTTAATCTTAAAACATTATTATTACAAAAATTCCTCACTGTATTCAGATTGCTCTAAATATTTTTGATGGCCAAACATAATTAGGTATATCTCTCTGCAGTCTGAAATAAAAAAAATTTTTCTTAATTAAATTAAATAATTCCATAACAATCATTTATTCCCAGTCAATACAAATTTATCATTTCACAAAAACAAATGACATCAAATATATGTTCTACATTACTATGAAAAAATATTAAAAAATAAAATTAATATCTCTATTAAATTAATAAGATAAGAAAAACTTATATAATATAAATATTTTAGTTTTTTATAAGAGATAATTCTGCTTACCTATAATTCGGATATTAAAACAAATGAATATTATATAAACATATAAAATTTTAAATTTAGCTAAATACAATTATATAATTGTGATATCTATGTGTATATCTATATTTTGACATATATGTATGTCTCCAAAGAATGAGACATATATGTATGTCTCTAAAAGAATTTTCTAAAATAGGAAAAATTACATATATTTTTGATGAAATAAAAGAATATAAAAGGATTGAGAAGAATTAAAGAAAAACAATAAAATATGAAACAATTTAACTGAAATAAAAAATATTATATGCAAGAACCTAGGTAATAGATACATGACATTAAAACATTATATGAACATTTAATGACCAGCATTGACAACACTAATGTATAAAATATACAAACGACAATCTAATGTCACAAAAACTTGATGTTATTAAAAGTAATATATTTTGACGTCATTATATGACATCTTTTTGTATAAGAAATAAGACATCACATTTCAAGATATAATTAGAAAATAATAGATATATACAGAATGTTCGGCAATGAATGGAAGAAAATTTGAAGAACAATCCTAGATGATAAAATAAGATGAAAATCAAGAATAATAAAAATTGCAATTAAGGCTTCATTTTTTAATTAGATAGATTTTTAGATATTTAAATATTCATGTGCTTTGGACCCTTTTTACACGAATATATTTTAACATTTTATTAAACATTTATAATTTAAAAAACGAGTCGCAATTTTGTTGTTTCTTAATTTCTGTTTTATTTCATTTAGAAGCACTTCTTAAATTTTTTCCCACTTATTGACGAGCAATCTCTATATGTATATTAATATATTATATTTAATTTAAAAAAAGTTTTCTAAACGGTATGAAAATAATTTTTCTAATAATTTTTAACACTTTGACTTTACTTTAATGTTTGATTTGATTTCAAATAATCTTTTAATAATTCGAATTTTAATTGAATTATTCACGAATTATCGAAAAAAAGATTCTGATATCGATCTCATTACATATAATATAACATATGATTTTATACATCTTAATTTCAACAATTTTTCTTCAATTAATGAAAGTTTTTATTGTACATTATAATACATACTTACACTTCTTAATTTTTCACGTCCACCAAAGTTTCGGATGGATTCTAATAGCATATCCCTAGAATCTAATTCGACTGATATCGATTTAGATCTTGCATTGGCATTTTTTAGCATCACACCTGTTATCACTGGCATGGTTGGAGATTTAGAAAATTGAATGTTCTTGTTGAAACCGTCAATCATCGATAATCCATTATGATTTATTTGATTATTTTTTGTCTTAGAATCTTCAGGTAACTTGAATCCTTTTACAACAGGCACCAGTGGATTGACTGTTATAGCCTTCTTGATATTATACCGAAGAGGCATTTCTTTTTGAGACTCAAGGTTTTGACTTGTCCCATTTACATCCACAATAGATGTGAATCTTTTTGCTCGTAAGTTTTGTTGAACATTATGCGTTTCAAATTCACTTTTAAACGGTAAATCATTGTGATTAATCGTCTTCGTAAACCTAGTATAACTGTTTTCTTTGATATTCGAGTTCATGAATTCCTTTATGTCGTCCGGCTGTGTAATACGATGATCCGTTGAAGATTTATTAATACTAGCGCGTTTAGGTTTCTGCTTAAAATTTACATATTGACCGAATGTGTTTGTCAATTCTTTCAAATTTATCGGTGTAGTATCGACTACGTTTTCATCACTTTTCAATATTTCCTTTGGCGTTTTGATAAAGGTCTTTTTTAATTCGACTCCCATCACGATCGGTCTATTTTCGTTCTTTGTTAAATCAGATTCAGTGTGAATTTGATTTGACGTTTTGAAATTCGATGTTGTAATTAATTTTTTGTACTTAATTCGTCAAGATTATTATTTGTTAAGGAATCAATTTTAAATTCATGTTCAATATTATTCGTATTAACATTGCCAATGAAATTCTCAGTTTCTTTCTTGTTTTTTGTATCGTTGAGATTGATAATGGTTGTGTTGCTTCTTCCCAATTTGTAATCAGTGTCTCCCTTGATTTGAACATTAACGCTTGGTCTTTCCAACCAACTACCCAGACTAATTGCTGGTGGACCAGTATAAACATAGCGTTTTGTGTTTTCTTCTTTTAACGATTGTTTACATTCCGATTTTGAATTTTGAGATTCGCATGATGAAAGTACATCTGTTCTGGCCGATTGTTTGTTGAACTTTGTCTCGTATCTAAAAATGCATTTTGTTGTTATAAAATATATAACTATATCAATTTATCAATTTATATATTATATATAATTTATATATCAATTTATTGTGAGACTAAATAATTATCAAGTAAAATCGACGTATTTATATGATATTAATATAACAATTAATTATTTATGTTATGTTGTAGCAAAATTAATTATTAGAATGAATTGATATTAAAATTAAAATTTTTATTTCATGCACGTGTACGCGTGCTTGCGTGCGTGGGAAGATTAATTTATTCCAAATAATATTTATAAAATATATGCACTCTAAATGCATAAAAATAATACTTACTTTGTTTTTTGAATTGATAACTCATTAATATAATTTTTGGACACATTTTCTTCCGTCTGTTGTGCATTTTTCAACTGCGGCAAAATGCTTTTTAATACCTATATATTATTTATATAATAATTATTTAGATTATAATTATTTAGATTATAATAATTTTACAACTGTTAACACGAATTGCAATTAAATTATTGATGTTAGTCACATACAGTTTACAACTATATGTTAAATATATACTAAATTTGTCAAGGCATATTTTAACAAAACAAAAATAATCATTTTATCAATAATATTTATGATGTATTTAGTAATACAATAGATTCTCATTTTAAATTCACTTTTAACTGGTTTTCGTTTTAATAAAATTTGTTATATTTTTATTAAGATTTTTCAACAAATCATATATGATAGAAAATTATTTCATTATATCACATAAAAGTTCTAAATGAAAAAAAAATTTGAACAAATTTTAATTAAAAATACGTTTTTATCATTTTATTCTGCTCTAATCGTTTCAATTTTATCATTTTCATAATTAATTTTTTACATGGAAATACATGATTTTTAAAATTATAAAATTTCATCTTGCACCATGGTCGAAATGACCTTTGAATTTCAAATGTATATAAAAAACATAAATAACTTGATTTCGCGGAACGCATTTTTACATTAGATTTCATCTTTACTCTCACAGAGATATCGATTTTTTTCGTGCGTGAAAAAAAGATTTTTGTTACACGGTTGTAATTATCATAATTATAAATTACCTGCAATGATTGTAATTGCTTCTCTTTGGTAAATTCTTCCTCATTTTTTAATATATTATCTCTCCATTGTGAAAACTTTCTCTCGTTATCCTTTAGCGTATCAATATTTAAATCAGTAATGCTCATAGCTTTTTTCATACTAACAATCTCCGGTTCAATTTGTGACTCATGCCTTTTTACATTGGTTCCTTGTGCCTCTTTTTGATATTTAATGTTGTTAGGCATCGATATATAACTTTTAGATCGTTGAATATTTGTTTTATCATTGGCCATGTTGAAACATTGCCATTTGTAAGACGTCTCATCTTGAATGTTTGGTTTCATTTTGTGGTCAGTGTTATTTGTACTCGGTTCTTCATATTTATTTTTCATCTTTTTGTTGAACGATATATTATTATTCAGACATGTATTTTTCGTTGTACTTCTTTTACCATAATTTGCATTTGCATTATTTCTTGATAGTGTGGCGAATGTTTTGATAAATTTCTGTTCCAAATTTTTTGCATGACTAGACTCTTCAAATTCTTCAAAAATATCCAGACTTTTCTGTTTGATATAAGTAGTAATAGTGAAGTTAGACAAAGTATTGTCTACGGGTGCTAATTCCGGTGCGGATAAGCTATCCATATTTCTTCGATCAAAGTCTTTATTGATATTTTGCGCCAGCGAATTAGTTTCTATTTTATTTTCTAGTTCCAAGATCATTTCTTTTTGCAAGTTCGGATTAATCTCTGGATTTTGTGAAGTGACCGACACTTGTTTAACAGTCTCATTCACCGTTTGCCTATTATTGATTTCTGTTTCAGATATGAGATCAATATTCTCATTTGAAGCTTCCTGATTATGATTCATTTTTGAATTATTTGATATATTTTTTATTGATTCCAAATTCTTATTATTACTATCTGTCACATGAATCAATTCTGAAGTTGGGTTCATTACCGGCTGTACGGAAGTTTCAACTGATTCTAGCAAGACTGTATCATAATTTTCGAAAATAGGGGAATGCGAATCGCGAAAGGCACTCGGTGGAGCTGGAAGTTGATACTGCCAGTCACTGCCAATCGACGAATTCTCATCCGTCGCTGGTAAGTCGGAAATGTCTTGCTGTGAATTTATAGAAGTTATATCTGGTGTATTAGCAATTGTATTTTCTTTTGAAAAATTGATGCGTGACTCATTAAATTCGTTTTTCATCTCAACAGAGTCTGTTTTAGTTGCGGCACCATCAAAAACAGCAGTAATGTTTTTATCACTTGTTTCAAGAGGCAGTGATGGTTCCAAGATTGAAATCGATGAAGTTGGCAGCACATTTGAGAAGGTATCTGATACCTTCTGCAGCAAAATATCAGTCTCAGATGGGAATGGAATGTCTTCGTGAATTGCTGGTATATAAACAAACAAATTATATATAATTTTTTAAAATGCTAGAAAATCTTTTACTATTTGAACAATATTAAATAATATTAATAAATGTGATGTTACATTAATATTTAAAAAAAATAGTATGCAATAGTATAAGCAATATGGCGAGTTTCCAAATTTTGTTTTAGCAATTGACATGCAACATATTGTGTAATACAATCATAGTTAATTGCTAATAAGAATCGAAAGTTGGCCACAACGCAAGATTGTGGGAACAAAATAAAAAAATAGTAGAGTCTACAAAACTTAAAACCAAAATTTGTATAATTTGTATATATACATATATCATACATATTGTTGGTGTATTCATAGAAAGAGTGCTATATTTTTTAATATATCGAAGTAAATTTACGTTATCCTGATAAAATTATGATGTTTCTCCATTCTTTAATATAAATAATTTCTATAAGAAATGAGTGTGCTTAGAGTTCAGTTCAAACTATTTAATGTGATATTATATTTATTAAATTTATTTTTTTTAATATATTAAATGGAAGAGAGTAACCACTTATATGAAAACATCGTCACTATATGTTATAACAATACATACTAAAATTTGTAAGAAATATTTTGCAAAACTTTTTCGACAGATTTAGCTATCTGAAAATATAACTTGTAAATAAAATCAATAAAGTTATATTATTATATATATTATATTATTTAATATTAGTTAACGTACTTTTAGTATTAATTTTGATAATTCTATTCCTCAAAATTTAATTATTACAATATTACAATATTTATAATTAAAAATTAGAAAATTATGACGATATTCGAAAAAAATTTGGTAAAACTTCACATTAGTGACGACCTTAGTGATTTTAATGATCTTGACATATGTTATCAAGAACATTTTGGAATTATAATGCAAAACATTTAAGTTATTGACAATGTGTATTAGTTTACCTTTTTCTGCTGTTATCTTAGTCTGTTCTACTTTCAAGGTGCTTTCTGTGATTACTTTAGCCGGTTCATGTACGGTCAAATCTGATTTAGAACACGTGTCAATATTTGCTTTAGCCATATGATTCTGTCGAACATCGTAATCAGATTCGCTTGAATCCCCAATTACAGTCCCCGGCTGCAATTTATAATCCGATTGACGTGTAGATCGTGTGCTGACATCAACATCGGAATTAGCTTTGAGACAGTCAATGTCAAAGTTAGCTTTTGACGATGAAACGATATCCGATGATGGTTTCGAAGATTTAAATATTAATGATTCCTCGGAATCGACAATGCGTTCTAAAGCTTGTGTGGAAATAGCTGATGAAAGTGGTTTAGATGTTGGCGGAGGAGGTGCAACTCTCTTCTTTCGAAAACCTGTACAATGGTTTTTGTTGACTTAAAATATTATGCAAAATAACATTTTCATATATATATATATATATATATATATATTCTAATTTTAGGATGTCATTCTGACATCTTAATTTTTCTATGATAGTCTTTCATATGGACCATAAGACCATCGGCATCGGCACACACATCACATTGCAATAGCAAAGTTGCACAAATTAAAATTCGAATTGATTTCCCACTATATTTCCGGATTTAGCTATTTCATGCAATTTTTCCCTATTCCCAAATTTGAAAAAATGGGAATCTGAGAAGAAATTTTCATTAAATTCTGATATAATAAATGTTGTAAATACTGTTATTATTCCATTTTAAACAAATCATATTTTATCAAAAATATGAAAAGTCTGGAAAAGCGTTGGAATAAATGTATTGAATTAAAAAAAGACTATGTTGAAAAATAAATTCTATTTTGCTTAAAAAAATTATTTTCTTGATCAAATCGGAAACTTTTCAACTGATCTTCATATATACATTATAATTATCTTGTTCAGTAAAAAATTACAATATATTGTCACTGTTAATTGTTTACTCGAATAGTATTATGCTTATCATCATTAATTTACCACATTTAAGTTTCTTAATATTGTTATAAAGTTTGGAAGATAAACTTTAAATCTCTTGTTTTTTTTTTTATATCAGCCATATTGAATATGAGATCAGAAATAAAAAACATATATATTTTTTCTTGCATATTATATATCGAAATAAATTAGCGCGCGCGCGCGCGCGCGCGCGCGTGTGTGTGTGTGTGTGTGTGTGTGTTCACATGTACATTCAATAATATAGATTGTTCAAATATATCAAAGATTTTTTTTGACACAATAAATTGCTGGATTAATAAATAAGGATTCATAAATGTGTCGATCAATTATCACATTCATTTTACTATTTTCTTTTTATTTTTCTTTTAATATAAAGACAATAAAAGAGGCTTTAATATATTTCGCTTATATATATATTCTCTACTAGTCTACATTATCGAACGCATAAGTACGTGACAACGTATAAGTACGTGAAAAAATTTATTTATTTTTATATACAACACAAGAAAAGTTTACAAGAAATTTGGTACCTCTAGGGTAAAAATTCGATATATTTCTGTTAGGAAGAATTAAAAAATATGAAAATACTATCACAGAAGGAAGGGGTTAATGTCCCTCACCTGCTTATCGCGCCTGCGGGAACATCGGCTCGCGTCGCGGCGTCCGAGGGACTCTCCACGGCGCGAGCGTGAATGCACCGGGAGGTATGCGAGCGGGAAACTGGAATTGCGTTCTCTCCGTTCCTTCGCGCGGCGCAGCGCGGTGCGGATCAATTATAAAGCGTATGAGAGCGAGCCTAAGCGGGTAGCGCGGGGTATTGGCGTTCGCTCCTTCGGAGGACGAGCACGAGGATGAGGACAAAGATAGCTAGAACCTAACGACTAAGAGTAACAAGTGCTGTAAGTTGCCAGCCGGCAACCTTGCGATAGCGATCTCAGCAACCGACTGTAACTAGTTAACTGAAATATTTTGTACATGGTTATGCGTCGCGATATATATATATATATATATATATATATATATATATAATAACTAC